TGATTCATTCTGCAAAATAACAATATAAATAAATTAAATAAACATATATAATAATTTTAACAGATAATGAATTTAATAATATTAAATAACATAAAAATTAACAAATAAACTTGCATTCGGTAAATATAATAACAGTTCTTAAGATATATATGCTATGATATCTAATTCAATGTTGGTTTAACAGTAAGGATAACAGTTACGTTTTTATTTTATTTTGTTAAATTAACGATACATTGTAAGATTTCCTCACTTAAATCGATATTTTTATTAATATGATTTGTTTTATAATATATGTCTACAATTTGTTTTTTATTTTTAAATATTGCAACTTAAATATATTTAAACCCAATCAAAAATCCATGATAGGTTTGGTTTAAGTTAAACCCATCCCAACCTAACACGAGCATGTTCACCCATTTTCGGACCAAACTCCAAATCCATAACCCATCAATTCAGCTTTCTATTTCTCTTCTTCTTCCTTTCGTAATTTGTTGTTTTCCTTTTCTGGTCTATGCCAAATGTCCCTGCCCCGTCCCAGATATTTGTAATGAATCCATGGTTGTGATTAGGATTTTGAAAGCTTGCTTTCACCAAAGAATGATAGTTTAGTTGACGCATGAAAGCTAAGCAGGAGGTGTGGTGAGGGCATATGTTCGATCCTTCCCAACACCATCTTTGGAAAGGGTTTAAAACCTTAATCCTGAACCCGTTCCGAACAGGATTGTCTCCAACGAAGAATACGTATACTTTATCCAAGAAAAAAAAACAACAACTTTCTTAACATAATTTGACCAAATTTGCCCTTCTGCCGAATTTTTGTTTATTTGTGAAATATATATGATAAATTAAAATCATCTACTACCAACTCACTACTTATCTAATCACCATTGGATCAACATTTTTTCTTTTTTCAAAAACTTTTTAGCATTCTCTCTCTTTGATTCAATGGTGATTAGATAGGTAGTAAGTTAGTAGTAGAAAATGTTGGTAGTAAGAATATCCTTCCTCTATCTTAATTTAAAATTTTGTAACATTAGTATTGTTTTGCAGAGTAACATAGGGTTTGCATGACAATCATTATGTTTTCTGACGCTGTTTCGGAAAAGAAATAATTCTTTTCTATTGTTGTGCCTTGGAAGAGTTTCTAAGAACAAAAATGTGTTTGATAACATGTTATATTCCGAGAATGAAATTGCTTTTGATAATACAACAAATAATAGAATAAAAAATAATTCTTATTAAGTATATTTTTTTCAAATCATCACTTTTCTTTTCATATGGTGGTGGCGGCAGTAATTGTGGCGATGGTAGTGACATAATGGCGGTGGTGGTGGCAGTGGCATGGTGATGGTGGTGGTAATGGCAGTGGTTGCGGCTATGATGATGGTAATACTGACGATGGTGTGTTGGGATATTCAAGTGTGATGAGTCCCACATTGGTTGGTAATGAGCTAAGTGAGGAGTATATAAGTGGAAGGACCCATGAACCCAATGCCTTAAGGTTTTGGGTTGAGATATGGTGTCGGATCCACTTGCTACAGTTGGTGTAGCTTTAGCTCATCGGTGGTGGTTCCCCGCCACGGGCTTCCCCTGGACCCGCTTGACATTGGAGTTTGAGGGAACAAATTTCCCAACATGGTGGTCGTGGTGACGGCAGTCAATGGCGGACCTAGAAAAAAGAATTTGTGTCCGCACATTAAGTGGCGGGGGTTCGGGGGCAGCGTCCCCGAAAAAAAGTTTGGTATAACTTTCACGTGGAGGAGTTGACTTATCAATGCAGGAACATTTCCACCAAAACCAGCCTACCCTAACATGTCATAAGCAGCCCGGTGATCTTGCAGACAAATACTTAGCAACCCTTGACTAATAATGTTGAAAAAGAAGGACTTAGCAATAACTCAATTACCTAGGATGAACTCATGGAAACATTTATAATTATAGCGTGAACTAATAATTTTGAAAAGAGATAGGGAGTACAGTGTAGCAATAACTCATGAAAAGAGCCAGTATAATAAGTCACAAGACTTAAATCCTGTAGTTTTGAAAAGAGCCCTTAACTTGGGAAATAGGAAAATTCCAAGATGGCCATACTTTTAAATTTCCATAAACATCAGCTAAGCAAAACAGTTAAGTGTGTATTTATAGAAATTGAACAATGCATTCTGTTCATTACCACTCTCAAGAAGTCAAAGATTTGAAACTTTGATTAGCAATGCGATCAAAGAAAATACCACCAGCTCAGAACCCAAGAGTTTGTCATGCTAAGAGAACAATATGATAAAATCATTGACCATAAATCAAAGCTAAACAAATATTTAAGGGGATCTTCTTGTCTTTTGCAATTAATTCTATAATCACACCTAATTAATTTTATATTTACTTCAGAGGAAGCTCTCTGTACAGGTAAAAAAAGTTGAAAAACTGAATATGTACAAAAAAAATTTAGAAAACTGAATATGAAACTAACCTCTTTAACAAGGAAAGGAACGTGGGGGAGAGAAGATGAGAAGCAGGGGAAGGTCTTTGAAGTTGTAGTTGAGACTCAGAACACTGATTCACGCTTAGGCTTATAATATTGCTTCCTAACCTTATTTAATTCCAATGCCCAAACGTGCGTCTAAAGGACAAGACAATGGTGGCCGTCCTTTTCTTGAGATACTAAATAAACACATTGTCTTGCAGCAGAAAGAGAGAGAGCGGACATGTAGAGTGAACGGAGAGGTAGCGTGTAGGGAGTTGCAAACTCAAATTTTTTTTTGAAATTTTTTGTTCAGATTTTCGTGTCTGCTAGTGCGGACACGTGAGCCTGAGTGGGTCCGCCCCTAACGGCAATGACTGTGGCGAGAGTAATGACAATGGTGGCGGTGGGGGTGGCGTAGTAGTGGTGATGGTGACGACATTGGTTGTGTGATGGTGGTTGGGGACGATGGTAGTGGTGGTGGTGATAACGATGATGGTAGTGGTGACAGAGGTGACGATGACATGGTGGTAGTGATGGTGACAGTGATATTGTGGTGGTGGTGATGAGGACAGCGGTGGTATGACGACGATGTTAACGATGGTCTTGTCGGGATGGTGATGATGATGCTAGTGATTGAGAGAGACAAGTGTTTATTATTTTGTGCTCGAGAACAAAAAAGTAAACAAAAATATATTCTTTTTTCTCTTTTCCAATACAGAAATTGAACCGGTTCATTATCGAGAATAAAAAAATAAATCAATTTTGTCAAACACTGTTTCTATCCATTTCTGTCTCAAGAACAAAAATTGAAAGAAAACTTATTATGGGAAGGTTGTCATGCACACCCTTATTATTAAGCTATTCTTTAATTATTAAACAATTTCAAAAATTATGTAAGATTAATTTTGTTTTGCATCGTAACCTATTTATATATAGGAGAATATTTTTCTCTTGTAACATGAAAAAGTTTTTCTCATGTTACACATTTATCCAAATTTGAGCTAGCATTTATTTTTTAATTGCGAGGCCCACTTAATTATATCTCTACATGAGATAACGTTTCTCAAAACACGAGAAAAGCATTCCTTTGATACACAATACATAAATTATTCTAGTATTATCTTAGAGGATAATTTTTAAGTTTTAATTTTTTATTGCATAGTGGCCTTTTATTTATTTTTAATAAAAATAAAAATATATTGATAATCAATTTTAAAAAAAAAACATATTTTATTATATATATATATATTATAAAATATTATGGAAATATTATTGTGTTACATGTTCATGATTTTTTTAATTTGGGCAGAAAATAATATTTATATTGATATATTACGGTAATATTAGAGAAAAATAAATTTTCATATGCAAAATATCATCTCGATAAATTATGGAATTCAAATTTTCAATAGTTATATTGAAAAGTATTTATATATGGATAAATCATTTCTACTTTTAAAAGATATAAGTTACATTCCTTTAATTTTTAACATTGTGTATTACAAGTAATATATAATTATAATATAAATTTTTTTTCTCTTCAATCATATCAACTGATATAGAAAGTGAAAAGAAATAACTTTTTATATTATAACTATGTATTACCCATAATATTAAAAATTAAAAAAATATAATTTATATTACAAAAATTAAACTCTTTATTTATCTGTTTTATGAGGACAGGAAGCCATGTCCCCCACTGGCCCACTCTCAATCAAAAGATTCAAAACCAAATGCGATTCATGTGCTCACATTACAAATTATTTTTTTTTTAATAAAAAAACTAGATAAATCATTTATTTATTGTTTTTGCCTCGACGTTGTGTTATTGAAGACAGTGGGTGATATTATATCACTAATAGATTTGAACCCATGTATAAAGCAGATGATTAGAATTATCACTGTGTAATTAAAAATATTAAAAACAGACTTACTTGTCAGTGGCAGAATGATGAAACAGACAGAATGAAAGGATGAATATATGCAGTAAATTTTTGGTTGGAGGGAAGCAACGGTAATTTTTTTATTTTTTGGACAAAATATTAAAAAATAATTAATTACTATGAACCGAACCGAACCGGCCGGACGGCGCGCGTGTGGTGAACCAATGCTCACCTAGCTCTTCCCCTACATAAAACATGTAGTGACCCAAGGGCCAATCTTAGAGAGGAAAGTGGGAGCTTATATACTCTCCCATTTCCTACTAATTGTCCAATGTGGGACTTGTTAAAATCCACACACCTCTTCATCTTCTCTTTTTCTCTTTTCTTTATTAACCCACTTCTTATTCATAACCAATGAATGATTGTAGATTAATTCATTCATTAATTCCAACACGTTGGTCTTCATCCTTCGCAAATTAGACACCTAAATCAGCACTGATCATTATTTTGAGTCCAAGTACCCATTCCTTTGCAGTCCTGCCTTTATAAGTTCCACCTTCCGTGCAGCTAGCTATCTGTATCTGTCTACCACACAATCTCTCCTCTAGTCATTCCTCTTTTCTAAGGCTTCTTCACATAACATCGATCTAAAGAAAATGGGTCCGAATAGCTCGGTCATGGTCATGGTCATGGTCATCTTGTTCATGGTATTCACAATTTCATTGGCCTTGGACATGTCGATCATCTCCTATGACAGAGCCCACATTGGCGATTCAGTATGGAGGAGTGACGAGGAGGTCATGAATATATACGAACAGTGGCTGGTGGAGCATGGCAAGTTGTATAGCGCCTTGGGCGAGAAGGAGAAGAGATTTGAGATCTTCAAAGACAACCTAAGGTTCATCGACGAGCACAATGCCAAGAACCAGACATACAAGGTTGGGTTAAACCGGTTTGCCGATCTCAGCAATGAAGAGTACCGAGCCAAGTACCTGGGAACCAGATTTGACCCAAACAGGAACAGTAAGTTGGCCAAGACCAGAAGCAACCGTTACGCTCCACGTGTCGGTGACAAATTGCCGAAATTTGTTGATTGGAGGAAAAAAGGTGCAGTCGTCCCGGTCAAAAACCAAGGAAGTTGCGGTATGTACTATGTCTATGTTATCTTTTATTCTTTTATTTCTTTCGTCTTTTTTTTTTTTTTTTTTTTTTTGTAATATGTTGTATCATTTTCTTACATGCATTATTTAATTTTTAAATTAGTTATAAAATTTAATATATTTTAATTATATAAGTAGTGTTGTTTATACATTGTTTTGGACCTCATGGTCTCCTGGAATTTGTGACTACAACAAGTAATTTCGTTTTGTAAAAATTGTCGAGTTATTGACATAAAGGATATTTTGGAGACCATAAGTAGGTCATCATGTAATTACTGTGGCTTTAAATTTTACAAATATCAATATTATTTTGGGATACCATATTATACCTATTCTTTTCCAGGCCTATTATGTGATATTTATTCATTTTTAATATTATTAGATCACAATTTCCACTCTCTTTTATTCCTTTTCTTTTCTTGAGATTAAAATCTAACAATATTAAAGATAAAAAATAAAATAAGCATGAAAAAAACATACTCATAATATTTTATCCCATACAAAAATTTATTAGGTAAAAATAAATTTCTTCTTTATTCACAATACACGGAGTGGAGGCATTTAGCAAGTGAAAAGCTACTAACAGCCAAGGACAAATGTTACATTTTTTTTGGAGAATATTATCATATCTTGTTTTAATATGATAATAATATATGAAATATTTTAATAATTTATTCATAAATTAAAGATCATTAATTAAAGTTATATTTTATACTTTCTTGTTTTAAGAATTTTTTATTAAAATTATATTCCCTGATCTATAAATAAATGACTCACCCATATTCTTGTATTATAGGGATGGAGTTTAAACTATCAAAATAAGATGATTATATGATAAAACCAAAATCAGTTTAATGGAGATTGTAAAATAATCAGGTGTCAAAATTAAATATACCGCAATAAAAACCAAAATTTTACCATTACTAAGATTTATAGAAATTATGTCCTAATTGTACTTTTTATGTATTTTCATTCGTTTCCTGCATTTTCCATCACTCATTGTTGGGCAAATTTTGTATATGTTGAGCTATGCTTTATAAACTCATTGTCGAAGTTTTTTAATGAAGGGAGCTGCTGGGCATTCTCTGCAATCGCCGCCGTCGAAGGGATTAATAAAATAGTAACAGGCGATCTGGTTTCACTATCAGAGCAAGAACTCGTGGACTGTGACAGAAACATTAACGCAGGATGTGATGGCGGACTTATGGACTATGCCTTTGAGTTCATCATCAATAATGGTGGTATTGATAGCGAGGAGGATTACCCCTATCGTGGTGTTGATGGTAGATGTGATCAACAGAGGGTTAGTCTTGATTACTGGATTACTTAGTAAATACATGTGGCACTTTCCACTCCAATGCTTTATATATTTTTTTCTCTGTTTCCTTGTCTACAGAAAAATAAGAGAGTCGGTACAATTGATGATTATGAAACTGTTCCTGCCTATAACGAGTTAGCCTTGAAAAAGGCGGTAGCACACCAGCCAGTGAGCGTTGCCATTGAAGCAGCTGGCAGGGATTTCCAATTATATGTATCAGTAAGTTTTTTTATTCAATTTTATTCTGTGAGCAAAGGCGCCTGCGAAGATAATGAAAATTAGCAATGTATTAAAAGCACACAATATATCTAATCTAATGAGACAAGTTGTGAATTCAATCTAGTTTTCAACTCTAAATTACAATAATGTTCAATAATATATATTATTAATAGGTTTTTATCTTTCAGGTACGAGATAAAAAAATCTCCGATCTTTATAAATCGTTTGTGCCTATTAAATTAACTTAATCGGTTTTATTTATCTCATTTTTACCAGGGTGTATATACGGGAAGATGTGGTACTGCATTAGATCATGGTGTTACTGCTGTTGGGTACGGAACAGAACATGGTGTTGATTATTGGACTGTGAAGAATTCATGGGGTAAGAGTTGGGGAGAGGGAGGTTATATCAAAATGGAACGTAATTTAGTTACAAGCAGAGCAGGAAAGTGTGGAATTGCAATTCTGGCCTCTTATCCCATAAAGAAGGGCCAAAATCCCCAAAACCCTGGACCATCTCCTCCTTCATCCGTGAAAACACCCAATGTTATGTTTTTAGTTTCGAAGTTATGTTGATTCTGCATTAATTTAGCACGCCGGCTGGAATAGACTTATTTATTCTCTTCTAAGATTTTATGTCCTTACAGGATCCAGTATCCACACTCCTTCAATGCATGCTTTGCGTTTTCCAGTTGTTCCGTTAACTGCGTTAAAAGGTAAAAATAAATTGCGCACAGCATAAATTTAGAAATTTGAATACAAGGAAAGACTAGCATTTTCATCCTTGATATGATATTGGAAGGGATCACTTTTTAGTTTCGAGCAACTGCTTAAGTAAAAAAGTTACGACTTATCTAATTGACCCAAATCAACAGGCAAATTTTCAGTATTAGATCCTGAAAGTGTCTTTTCTTAAATTCTTTAACTCTCCAATGATTGATAAGTTCTTTTCATGCGTACATTTCTCCAAAACAAAGCATTGTCAGGTTTTTCAGGCATTTAATTGAAGAAGGTAAGTAAGACAGATCAACACTGGTCAATATCAATACTCTGAGTTCAATCATTTTTGTAAAAGAGTTGTCCGGTATTTTCAAAAAATCATCTTTATTACTGTCGACGAGGAAGACTTCAAGTTTAGAATAGTCGTGTACCTTTGGAGTTTATCCTTATGAGATCACTCATCTAGTATGACATTTTTTTTATAAAAAAGAATACATGTTTTTCTTCGGATGATATTGAAAGAGCAACATCGCGCATAATGTTATGCACGTCGAAGCAGTCATTAGAATAACTTTCCACCATCAAATTTGACTCTATATCTTCCCTCATTGTGTAGACTCCCTGAAGCATTAGCATAGCCAAACCAACATAAAACTTCACAAGTCCATGATTATTAATTATTAATTCTAAATAAACTATAATCATCAAATGATCATAAATTAACAACTAAAATAGACAATAAGATTTCTTAATCTTATATAAGAATAAAAAAATATTGTCTGATTCACCATTACATGATGAGAATTTTTTTTATCTGTTTAACATAAACCTTTAATTCAAGTAATTGAGTATTAAAAAAATCCAATTACAGGAAATTAATGTTATTTTCATCTTTCCGACATAAGGTATTAAATAAGTATATATATTAGATTAAAAAATTTAAATAAATGTATTAATAAGTTGCGATTATTTACCTATGAATTACTACTTTTTTTTTTACGCTATGGTTCAAATCAGATAGACTTCATTTCTAAAATTCGATGGTTATTTGAATGTTTATCAAGTTTGAGGAACTCCTTAAAATATATATATATTTTCAGTATGAAAATGGGTCTGTACTGAACGAAACAATCCAATAAATACATTAGCTCAGAAGTCAGAGACTATAAGCTAAGAGTTTTCATTTTATCTTTTAACATAACACGACAAACTTTCTTACACTCACAACATTTTGTGGGGCTCACACTTTTTAAAACAAAAAAATAAATAAAAAATTAAGGCACGCAAAACGAATCTCTATAACATTACACAATCATTTTTCCTACAACATAACTCTTATAAAACCCATAAACTAAAGTATAAACCCAATAACCTTTGAAATGTTAGAAAAAGAAAGGACTTTGTTTTTCTATTGTAGTCGAAGATGACCAAATTTTCCTGCACATAGAAGTAAGCTGGGTCCCACTAGTTTTTGTGAAGAAAATAAATAAAAAAGATTAGGCACGCTTTAAGAACCACGTAAGATAAACAAATTACTGCAAACAGAAGAATACATTTTGACAAAAAGAAAAGCAGAAAATCCTAGTAAGTCAAGTCATAAAAAATTACAGAAGATTTGAAAAACGGAAAAAAGGGAAAAGACCTATGGATCCTTTTTACAGATCACCACCATCAGGCATCAACTTTAAATTTCGTCACGTATTTTCGTTAGTGACTCAACGGTCATTTGGATAAAATGACCTATTAAATTAACAATCATACTTTGGGACTAATTAAACAAAAAAAAAAAGTCACTTGGTTTGCTTCAGAATCACTTATGTTTCTGTTTTTTTTTTTTATCATATATATCCTTGTGATTTGCAAAATGATATACTTTTTTATCACATATGTCCATGTGTTTTTTTATCTTTTACAAACACAGGACATATGTGTGGTAAAAAAAAAATCACAGAAATATAAATGATTCTGAAGTAAATCAGATGAACTTGGTAAATTTTTTCCTTGAAAAAATTAAAAAATCTGAAGTATATACTATGAGGAGGGATATTCTCACTACTAAAATTTTCTATTACTAACTTACTACCTATCTAATCACCATTAGATTAATATTTTCTCTCTCTTTAATCCAATGATGATGTGATGGGTAGTAAGTTAGTAGTAAAATTTTTTAGTAGTTAGAATATCCTTACTGTGTAATAATTTGCTATATGCTCAACGTTTAGAGTGTGTGTGCATAGTCCTTTTTTTTTTTAGTACATACAAAGTCGTTTTTCAATTAACAAATGCAATGATGACCCGACCCGATAGGCCGATAATTTGGGTCCATGGACGCGCGCGAGTGTCACTCGTTATGAATATGATTATCAGTTATCAAGCAAGAAAAGGACCCAACCCACAGTGAAGGATGGCCGCTCCTCTTGTTCTTAGACAGGTTCTACTGCTTCGCGTTTGCTTGCATAGCCACAAGCGGTTAACCGCCGGAGCCGTTGCCGTTGCGGCACGTCACCGGCTATGGTGCATCGCCGCCACCAACACACCTTCGAATCAAGCGGACGAGAAAATAAGCTCCAGTCTGCGGAGGGTTAAGGAGCCGTCAAGTTACCCGCGGTGGGAGGATGACCCCGATTATCGGAAATGGAAGGATAAAGAAGATGAGATTCTGGGGGACATTGAGCCTATCGTTTTGCTTACCAAGGATATTCTCCACTCACGAAGGTCACTTTCTAATTTTGTGTCTACAAATTGTTATTTACTTCGCAATGCTTCGTGACACCAATTTGGTTCTTCTATTTTCTACGCCAGGTACTTGGATGGAGAGCGATTGACCGTGGAGGATGAGAAAGCTGTAGTAGAGAAGCTCCTTGCTTACCATCCACACTCTGAAGATAAGATTGGGTGTGGTCTTGAATCCATTATGGTAAGCGCTGGATCTGAATAATATGTTTTCTTTGAATGCGACCTTCTTTAGGCCGTGATTATGTCATTGCATTGATTGCTTTACTACGGCTTATTTGTATTAGTTTGCAACTGATTGTGTTTCTCCTAACTCCTAACTGACCAACAAACTGCTTGTAGAGGAATATAATAGGTTAAACTTAAACATTACAATCCTGTAAGTGGGTCAAAATATTCTAATGATGTCATTTTTGTTGTGCCCAGACCATATAATTTGGCAAACCGTAAGATCATATTTTTACTTGTTTTGTAATTTATATCAAGTTTTCTGGTATCTCTAACACTTCCATTTTGGTGGCTTTTAATCCACATGCATATGGACTAGTGTTTTAATTTATTTTTTGGTCTTAAATTAATTTAAGCCAAGGATGATCTGTTTATATGATATATTGAGCTATATTTTGAGTTATAGTTATATGATCTGTATTTGCTGTTCTTACGTTGTAATTAGGCTTGGGTTTATTAAGGCAGGCTTAAATGGTAACGTCCAAGTTTCCGTTATGTTGTTCGTACAGAGTTTTCATCCTCATAGAGTTAGGATTATGTTCCCAAATCTAGTAGGAAAAGTTATAGGTGGCCTATTATGTTTCTAATGTTTCTTTTATACAACGATGAGATTTAACAATTATGGCAGCATATTGCTCCTTTCTTGATTGTGTGATACAGTATCTATCATGCAATCGAAATGCCAGGTGCCAACAAGCTTCCATTGTAGCTCAATTGGTACCAGCCCAAATCTTTAAGACTCGGGTGTGATATTGATGTCAGAGGTTAGTTCTTTATGAGAACATTTCTCCCTTCCCTACTCAGGTGTAGCTCAATTGGTACCACCCCAAATCTTTAAGAATTGGGTGTGATATTGATGTCAAAGGTTAGTTCTCCATGAGAACTTTTCTCCCTTCCCTACTCAGGTGGTTGAGTCTCCTATGTAACCCACAAAAATAATTATCCTGACTCACTAAATCCAAACCCCTTGATGCTGCACATAGCCTGTGATACATTGTAACTCTTAGCAAGTCAGTTTGTTTATGAGGGAAATTTTAAGAACATGGTAAGACAGACAGGCATAAATGCTTTAAAATTATAATTAAACCAGTCATTCGATTTTGTTTAACTTCTAGGTTATTGCTAACCTCAAAGGGATACTGCTTGAGCCTTGTATCCGACAAGTGACGGCAAAAACCTGACATAACAGAACTGGCATTTAACTGCCAATTATGAATTGAAAGATTCAAGAAACTGTCTGTACATCACTACTATAAATCTATAATTGTAGTTCCCGTCTAGATTGAGCTAAATGCCTAAAAGCAGAAATTGTCAATATTGTTCTTAAACAATCAGTAACTTATCCCTCTATTCGTGTAGAGCAATTTGATGTCCCAACTCCAAACTTAAATGGCTGCTCTCTTTCTTCTTCCTTATTACTAAGGCCCAAACTACAATTATGCAAAATGCTAGTTGACTCCTCTTTGCTGTTTGTTGATAGGGCTAAGTTTGTAGTTTCTATGAATTAATACTATATAATTAAATAGTTGTACATTGTATGCCTTTTCAATAAATCTTCAAAATGATGTACAAGTAAATGTTAGAAAATTGTTAGGTTTTGTTGGGCTTCAGCTCTGTCTATCTAACCAACAAAACAGATGTTAGGTTTAATTATACCTTTGGTCCCTTTAGATTCACTAAACTTTCAATCTGGTTCCCCCAGTTTAATTGCAAAATGTTGTCCTAATAATTTTCAAATTGATCCAATTAACTCCCCGTCTCACATTGATATTATAGTGTCTCTCATCCGATTGATTTGGCACTGTGCAATTTCATTTCCGTGTAAGCAAAATCATCAAAAAAAAGTTTCACATAATCTAATTTATTTTCTCGTCAGCGAAAAACATGGCCGTCTAACTGACAGAATGCTTAATTTCATTAATATTAAAACAGTGAGGATAACACTGTATCAATTAAAACAAGAGGGATGATGTTATCAAAAAAAAAAAAAAAAAAACAAGAGGGATGAAAATCAAACTTTAGTAAAACCAAGAGGAACAGAAGTGTAATTAAGCCAAAATGTTAAAACTTACAAATTGATCTGCTATTCGTTATGTGTAGTTCTGTTTGTCTTGTACTTCCTGAAGTTTTAAGAGTTGCATTGTTTTTGCCAATGTCAACACATTTTGAAGGAGAAGTTATCTTCTATTACTGTCTAGGTTACCACATCAATTAGATCCAATATCTTTACTTATTGTGCTGGTCATAGATACATCATGTATAGAAAAGTATATATGCTGGTTCGTCATGAATTTGTAGTTATTCTCACTTACTTTTTAAAAGGTATACTTTGAATCTCTTATGCGTTATGTTGGTACCTGTACGTTTCTGTTTGTAATGTAATAACTGGACAAATTGAATACAGAATTACCAGATCTACTAACAAACTCTCAGTATCTGAAATACTTCTATATTACTATAATATTCATAACCAGTGAACTAACCATATTCACTTTCATCATTACAAGCGAATACTGCAGACTTCTACCTTCTACACAATGAAATAAAAATACATGGACATTAAACGAAAGACTCCTAGCACCTCAATCACAGACCAACAGGGTACTGCAGTTACAGACTCCAATTGAAATGAAATGAACAATACAATCAAACAACTATTACAGATACTTTAACTATAATTGCTTCTCTTACTCTTACTCTTACTCCAAACTCCTAACACCATCTACAAAACAAACCCGTTTGCAGAGAGTGCATTTCCCCTTTTCCCAAGTTGTTGAGTGATTTTTCATGCATACCTCACACTCCCACACTCCTATCTTTATATTCTATTATTTAAGAATATTCTAGAATAACTCTCTAACTAACTACTAATTGTCTCAGGCCCATCAATAAGTAATTATCTCAGGCCCATCAGTTAGCTGGCTTTATTGAGCAAATCATGTCCATGCTAATTGGTCAAATACACGAGAGCAAGATAGCCCTTCTTTAGATGATACTCAAAAGTTCGGGTCTCCCAAATCCCACCATTGCAGAATATAAACACTTCATATCTTGATTTCACTTTATCTATACTATTTGATTTGAATATTTTGGTTTTATTTTCATTTCTGCAGACCATCCCATCCCTACCCCAAATTATATATGATAACTAAGTCCATTAATCCAATCGGATGTCTTTGGTGTTTTTCTTTGCTTTTCATACACATTCCCTATATTACTAAAATTTACATCGATGGTTGAACTTCAGCTATTGTTGTTTGGGTTTACTTACCAATGACATCCTCTGGTTCTTTTCCAAAATAGGCAGCAAGTTGGGCCTTTTGACCGAATTAATGCAACTTCTTAAATAAATTAACAAATTAATACAAAAGCCAAACATTTTATCAAAATAATGCAACAAAACACGCACAGGATGTGCATGTTCAATTTGAGCGGGGGATTGTGCGCATTCCACGTTGAAGGGGATGGAGGAAGGGGTCATACAAGATATAAGTGGTCCTAGCCCATGTCAAAGTAATAACGCAACCCAAGCTCATGTGGCCCAAATAACAACAGCAAATCAAACTTATCTGCAAAATGAAGCGTCTTATGTAATTCACATACGTGTCACTAATCATAACAGAATGAACTTGCCACGTCAAATTTCTGTTATGTAAATTTGTTATGAAGTCAGTTTTGATAGTTGAGTCTGTAAACTAATTTTGGCGCGCTTTCTTCTTTCATCTTAGTATATATGTATTGTATCATGTATTAGATTACAGTAGTGAGAAATGATGAATAATTTTCTCTTTTCTCTTGTTCATTTCTTTGAGTTCTTGAGTTTCAATCTGGTATCAGAGCTTTCAAAGCTCTGATATCCGCTTCAGAAATCAGTTTCATTTTCTTTCATCTTGATTCCTGTTTGATGATGGAAAATCAAGTTCAACTCCCAGAGTACCTGACAAATCCTGCTCATCCGTATTTCTTACATCCAAATGAGAGTCCATCGCAGATTCTTGTGACTCCACCACTAAATGGCCGTAACTATCATTCTTGGTCTCATGCGATGTCAATGGCATTGAGATCCAAGAACAAGCTCAATTTTATCAGCAATACAATGGTAGTTCCAAATGTTGATGATCCATTATTTGAAGCATGGGATGGATTCACAGATCCATAACCCAAACTATAGCTCAATCCATACTTTGGATAGAAAAGTTGTGCCAAGGAGAGAAATCTGTAAGTGACTACTTTACTCAGCTAAAAACAATGTGGGATGAATTAGAGGTTTTAAAGCCTCTTCCCACTCTTGCAATGCCATGTGCTTGTGGAGCAATAGAACAAATGCGATTATATCGTGATAGAGATCAAACAATCCGGTTCTTGAAGGGATTGAATGAGCAATATGCTCAAGTAAGATCACAAATAATGTTAGCTGATCCTTTGCCTGATGTAACTAAGGCATTTTCACTAATTGCTCAACAAGAGCGTCAGTTTCATTCTGAAAGTGGTGTGAATTTTCAAAATAATCTCAAGTTTTAGCTGCAATTGGAGACAACAGAAGATATGGTCAATTTAATGGAGGAAGAAGCTATAACAGTCAATTCAATGGAGGAAGAGGTCGCGGTTGTAACTTTGCTGGAAGAGGATCAAACAACTCAAAGCTATGCACTCATTGTAACAGATCAAACCACAATATCGAAACCTGTTATTTTCTTCATGGTTTCCCTCCTGGATATAAAAGGAGCAATTCGAATAGTGCTAATGCTGTTAATTCCAGTGGCAATACTATTGAGGCAAATACCACAACCACCACAAATGCAGAACACATGAACATAGTGATGATTCAGGATCAGTATCAAAGGATCCTCAACTTACTGCAGAACCAGAATAATGCAGACAATGGACAAGTATCACATTCAGCCAATGTTGCTCATTCATCCCAGCTAACCATTGAAAACTCCCAACCAGGTATTAAGAGCGTGGAATGGGTCATAGACACAGGTGCCACAGATTATATAACTCACTTGATATCTGAATAACAAGCAAATGCAGCAGCTCAAATAAGACCTTTAGCCCTCCACATAATTCCATCTATAACATAGCCACCAAGACTTCTAGCACTACATGTAATCCCATCTGTAATATAGCCAAAAATAATAATGATTCCATTGTTTGGCATCAAAGGTTAGGCCATATTTCCAAAGATGTAGCCCACTTAATGTCTTTACAATTTCCCTTTATCCCAGCAGCTCATGTTTCCCTTTGTGAGATATGCCATTTTGCCAAACAACATAAACTTCCTTTTAGTGTCAGCAATACAAAACCTGCAAATTTTTTTGATTTAGTACATGTAGATATTTGGGGCCTATGCTCAACTGTTTCTATCCACGGACACAAGTACTTTCTTACTTTAGTTAATGATTTTTCACGATTCACTTGGGTCCTTCTCATGCGTATCAAGGCTGAAACTCGTGAACATTTACAATCCTTCTTTGCTTTAGTGAAAAATCAATTTGGAACAAATATTAAGACTCTACGATCGGATAATGGTCCTGAGTTCTCAATGAGTGATTTTTAGAAGTTATTCATCAACGTTCCTGCATTGAAACACCACAGCAAAATGGGATTGTGGAACGGAAGCATCAACACATCATGAATGTTGCTAGAGCATTGCTTTTCCAAGCTCATGTGCCTACCACTCTCTGGAACTATACCATAACCCATGCAGTCCACTTAATCAATCGCCCCTGCACTCCATTGATTAACAATAAAACTCCATATGAAAGACTACATGGAATTCCTCCAATCCTTATTCATTTGAGAATCTTTGGATGCCTAGCCTATGCACCAACTTTATCATCTCACCATACAAAGTTCTCACCTTGTGCCAGAAAAGCTATTTTCTTGGGGTACAGAGATGGTACAAAGGGTTATCTACTTTTTGACTTACAAAGTAATGACTTGTTTGTTTCATGCAATGTCATTTTCCATGAGCTTATATTCCCTTTTCACAAAAGTCATATTCCAAATGAAAATCCAATACCTACCAAATCCAGCATACCTTTATCAGACCCACAGAACAATATTCATGATTTTGATTCATTTTTTAACATTTCTCCCTATAATGGTCAAATCAATGATCTCATCCCTGTTGAAACAGACACCAACCCTACCATACCCCAAAATCCACTTAGAAGATCATCACGTCAACGTGTACCCCCAACATATTTGCAAGATTATCACTATAGTCTATTCTCAACTCAGCAAGCTACTTCATTGTCAGGGACTTCCCTAACTCCCATTAAATACCCTTTATCTGATGTACTTATGCAAAATGTGCACCAGCTTACGAAAAGTTTTGTCTAAGTATATCTGCCATTAAAGAACCAAAAATATTCAATCAAGCCATCAAGTGTGAGCATTGGCAGAAGGTTATGGAGAAAAAACTATCAGCCTTAGCTCTAAACAACACATGGACTATGGTTGAATTGCCTCCTGGAAAAACTCCTAGAGGCTGTAAATGGGTCTATCGCATAAAGTACAAGTCAAATGGAGACATTGAGCGCTATAAAGCCAGGCTTGTGGCTAAGGGATTCACACAACTTGAAGGGGTGGATTTCTTTGACACCTTCTCTCCAGTGGCCAAATTAACTTCTGTTCATGTCCTCCTTGCAGTAGCAGCAGCTAAAGAATGGTTACTTGAACAACTTGATGTGGATAATGCATTCCTTCATGGTGATCTATCTGAAGAAGTGTATATGACACTCCACCCGGTTTGAGCAACTCCAATCCCAATCATGTGTGCCGTTTAAACAAATTTATATGGTCTTCGTCAGGCCAGTCGTCAGTGGTACAACAAGTTATCATCTGCTCTTCTTTCTCTTGGATATATTCAAGCACAATTTGATCATTCGATGTTTACTCTCAAGATCGGTGACCATTTCAGAGTGTTACTCGTTTATGTAGATGATATTGTGTTATCTGGGAATTCTGCAATTGAGATTCAACGAGTTAAGTCCTTTCTACATGACAAATTTCGTATTAAGGACTTAGGCTCCTTAAGATACTTCTTGGGATTAGAAGTATCTCGTTCTCAAAAGGGTATCCATCTCAACCAACGAAAGTACACTCTTGAAATCATTTCTGATGCAGGTCTTTTAGCAGCAAAACCTTGCCTCACACCCATGGACTCTAGTCAACATCTGAGCTGCAAAAATGGGTCACCACTTAATGATCCTACTTCTTACCGCAGATTGATAGGGAGGCTTTTGTATCTCACCACTACACGTCCTGACATTTCGTTTGGTGTACAACAACTTAGCCAGTTTCTTGCTCAGCCATCTGACACACATATGGCAGCTGCTACTCGCATCCTTCGTTACTTGAAAGGTGCTCCTTCTACCGGTTTATTCTTTTCTTCAAAATCCACTTTCCAAGTTCGCGCATTTAGTGACTCAGATTGGGCTTCTTGCCCTGATACTAGGCGCTCCATTACTGGAATATGCATTTTCGTTGGTTCCTCTCTAGTTGCATGGCGCTCAAAGAAACAACCCACGGTTTCTAGATCTTCCTCTGAAGCAGAGTACAGAGCTTTAGCATCTTTGACATGTGAACTTCAATGGTTTCAACACTTGTTCAACGATTTATGTCTTCCTTGGACCAAACCTGCTTCTGCATACTGTGACAACAAATCTGCTATATATCTCGCCCACAACCCTGCCTTCCATGAGCGCTCAAAGCACATTGAGATCGATTGTCACGTGACAAGGGAGAAAATTCGTTCTGGTTTGCTTCACTTATTACCAGTTTCTTCCAACGCACAATTAGCATATGTCTTCACAAAGCCTCTATCCTCCAAAGTCTTCTATGCTATTCTCAATTTGGGCCTATTAGATTTGCATAGTCCCACTTGTGTGGGGGGGGGGGGGGGGGTCATACAAGATATAAGTGGTCCTGGCCCATGTCAAAGTAATAACGCAGCCCAAGCTCATGTGGCCCAAATAACAACAGCAGATCAAACTTATTTGCAAAATGAAGTATCCTCTGTAATTCACATACGTGCCACTAATCATAACAGAATGAACTTGCCACGTCAGATTTCTGTTGTGTAAATTTGTTATGAAGGCAGTTTTGATAGTTGAGTCTGTAAACTAATTTTGGCGCGCTTTCTTCTTTCATCTTGGTATATATGTATTGTATCATGTATCAGATTACAATAGTGAGAAATGATGAATAATTTTCTCTTTTCTCTTGTTCATTTCTTTGAGTTCTTGAGTTTCAAGAAGAGGGATTATATAGTGATGAAACCTCAATTTGGAATGCAACAGAATTTGAATGCAGATTATCTTGACAGATTAAAATGGAGACTTGCTATTTTCAATCTTATCAACAGTGACACGATAGTAATGGCTAGTAAAACCTTGAAACAGATTAAAATGAAATTAGAAAAAGATAACCAGGGGACTCACAGCACCCCTATACCCACTACTAACCCCACAATCATATAATTTTCAGCTACCTCAACCCATTACAATATCCCAGCTTATATTCCCCTCTCTTGCACTCACCCCACTCACCTCTCTCTCTCTCTCCCCTGTAACAAACTCATCATGTTACCATCCCGTTGCCTCATTTGCTTTTGCAATCTGTTATGTTTTCCTGAATAACTAACTCCTTTGCCTCTGGACCCACAAGGATTAATTTGGATAAATCTTCTCTTGGGCCAACTTCTGAACTAACTTTAGGGTCTTCTGCTGTTGTTTTCGGATCTATTGGGCTCATTTGCTTAGGCCCATTCTGGCCATCCTTCCTTCTCTTTCTGCTATAGCCTTTCCTTATAGTCTCACCATATAGTACGAAGTCACTCACACCCAGTGTGCGTCCTGCTGTGCACCTCGGTAGCAGATGCTCAAATAGCCATGCGCAAACATGCACTCCCAACGCGACTTGAATTTGCACATTTTTGTGTGCTTCTTGTTGCATTGTTTTGGTAAAATGCTTGACTTTTGCCTTAATTCTGTAAAATGTTTTATAAGTTGCATTAATTTGGTCAAAAGACCAGCAAGTTGGCAGCAATTTGCAGGATATGGATACATAACTTATTTTCTTGTAGGTTGACCGTCATCCTCAATTTCGACACTCAAGGTGTCTTTTTGTTGTAAGAACTGATGGTGGCTGGATCGATTTCTCCTATCAGAAGTGCCTTCGGGAATACATTAGAGATAAGTACCCTACTCACGCAGAAAGGTTTATTCGAGAACATTTTAAGCGTGGGAGTGGTTGATGTATATATTGTGGAATTTTATTTCCAAAAAACAGAAAGACTGAATTTGTTTACTTTGGTGTGCCAACCTCTGATAATGCTTCTACGTGACTACCTTTTACATCTGTTTTTCCCTGCTCATTCCAGTGGCCTACCTAGATTGTCAATGGTAGTTGATAATCATTGACTGGGATATCATGGTTATTAAGAAGGGAACACAGAAAATGATTGAAGTGAACTTCACATTGTCGACTTGTGGAACGCTTTGTTTGGGATACAGTAATTGGTGGTTAGGTTACTAGTAGGCAGTAAGGCACGAAATTTTGTTGATTGACCACCTCTAATATAATAGGAAACTTTATACTTTCTAGTATTCAATGTACTCTTACAGTCTCTCACCATTTTTTAATTTTGCATGATCTCTTCTCTTCAACATTTAATTTTTAACTACTTAATTGTTGGAGGCTAGGAATGTACTCATTCTGTATTTTGATTGACATAGCTATAGTCACGGGCATTTTGAGGAGTTGTTGAAGTCGGAAGTGTGCGAGTCAAAAGGATCAAGCTAGCTAGGGCAGGTTGTCCAACTAGGTTCCGTAGGACTGCACAAGTCAGAACGGGGACAAACTGTGTTCCACCTACTTCTAGTTTTTTAGCTGAATATGTTTCTAAATCCCATGACTGAATCTTCTTGTTCTCGATATATTTGTTTAGTCGTTAGTCAAACACCCCAACAAATTCCATTTTAAGCAGTGTGTCATCATGCGCAAGTGTTAAAAGTGTGACAGTTTAAAACTTTATCGGGTTTCTTTTCTTTTCCTTTTTTCTTTTTGTTGTAAATAATTATTATTTAGTCATTTATTTGTTGTATTGGGCCAAACCCATTAGGTCAAAATTAGGTAAAGTATTCTCTATAAATAAGAACCCTTTGTACAGATTATTTACAATTCTATAATATATCAGAATACCCTTTTTCAAGTTGGTATCAGAGCTCTCGATCTTGAGGGCTCTGCTTCCGCGCCTACGAAACCTTTTTTTGTTTCCCATCTCTCGCTGCCATCAGCTGCCACCGGAAAAATTTTCCGGGGACCTCTTGGACCGAGAGATCACTGTTTCTCTTTTTTTTCTCATCTTACTCAGTAGCAAGACACCAAACAGAACCGTTCATCGTTCACCTTCAAACAGAACGCGTTTTTCAATAACGAAGAACACTGTTCATCGCGATTGACCTTCTTTCTGGCGGCCATTCAACTCCGATCAGCCCCAGATAGGTTCGCAACCCTTGGACGACCTTCGCCTGAAAAGCCCAGCCCGACCGGACGTCAGACGCGCCTCCACGCGCCGCTCATTTCCCTGCGCGTGAATCCCACGCGCCGCCAGCTTCACCGGCGCGTGACAGCGCGCGACGGTGGTTAATGGCTGCGGACCGGTGCAGTCTTGATCGACTCTCTGAGCTCGTTCTGGATTTGTGCTCACCTCTTTGATCGGACGTCGTTTGGTAATTTTTCGTGATTTTTTTGCTTCTTGGTACTATTCTTTGAGTTTTTTTTGCAGTATGGCCGCTTCCGACGCTGATTCAACTCTAAACTTATCTGAAAAAAATTCTACCCCATCTGTGGTGACCACTCTTGGTCACAATGATCTTCCAAGTCTACGTCAGAGTTATCGATTTGACGGATCAAATTATTTGTCGTGGTCTCAGTTCATTCGTACTACCATCAAGAGTCGCAATAAGATTGCTCATCTTGATGGCCCTGCTCTTGCTGCCACGGATCCCGATTTTGCTGTTTGGGATAATGAGGATTCTCTTATCATGACTTGGTTGTGGAATTCGATGACTCCTGAAGTGGGTCGTCACTGTATGTTCCTGTCTTCTGCTGTGGAGATTTGGGAAACTGTCCGCTCCACTTATTCCTTGAAACAGGATATGGCTGCGCGCTATGAATTGCGCAATAAAATATTCACTACAAAACAAGATTCTTTATCCGTGACTGAGTACTATGGCACCTTGAAGGAGTTATGGACTGAACTTGATCAATTTCAGAGTTTGAAGATGAAATGTACTGCAGATGCTACTACTTTAGCCAAGGAGGTGGAAAATGAGCGTATTTTTGATTTTCTTGCTGGTTTGAATTCCGAGTATGATCCTATTCGGGTTCAGATACTTGGCAAAGAAACTTTTCCATCCCTTTCTGCTGTTTTCAATACTGTTCGGGGAGAGGAGAATCGTCGGGGTGTTATGATGAACCTTGATAAATCTGTCATGTTATCATCAAATGATGGTGCTGCTTCTAAACCCACTGATGGGTCTGCTATGATTTCAACAAAAAAGGATGGTTCTACTTACAGGAGTTCCTTTCCAAAATATTCTGATGGAGCATCTTCTAGACCTAAGAAAGATGATCGCTGGTGTTCTTATTGTAAAAGAACATGTCATATCAAGGATCTATGTTATCGCCTCCATGGAAAGAAAAGTGTCTTAGAAAAGATGGCAAGGATGCGTGGTCAAGCGCATTTTACTTCTTCTGCTATAGCTCCTACACCTAATGAGACCTAACCTGCATTTCGTCCAGATGAGTTGGAACGACTTCAGACCATACTTGATTATCTGAGTAAACCATCTGGTACTAGTGATTTGGCTATGACTGGTATAAGCTCCAAAATTTCTTCTTTTCTTACTTCATGTATTGATTTTAAACATTTTTGGGTTGTTGATTCTGGTGCTACTGATCATATGGCTTGTTGTGCTGACCCCTTTGTTTCTTATAACCCTACCATTGGCACTCATACAATAGCCGTAGCTGATGGCTCACATACATCAGTTGCGGGTTCTGGTAACATAAAATTATAGCCTTCCTTACATCTCAAAGATGCTCTTCATGTCCCTAAACTTTCTACCAATCTTCTTTCTATTCATAAAATCACAAAAGATTTAAATTGCACTGTAACCTTCTTTCCTACTCACTGTGTTTTTCAGGATCTCGCCACGGGGAAGACGATTGGGGGTGTTAAAGAGCAAGGTGGGCTGTACTATCTGGTGTCACAATCTCCTGCAACTCATGTTAAGGATCACATCTTGCTGTCACATGGCCAGTCAACTGCTGATTCTCTTATTTGGCTTCATCATAAGTGCTTGGGACATCCTCCATTTAGTTTACTCAAGTCTTTATTTCTGTCTTTGTTTTTGTCTAAGTCTGTTGAGTCTTTTCATTGTGATGTTTGTGAGTTTGCTAAGCATCATCGTGTGTTTTTCCCTTCTAGTATTACTAAAAGTGTTGAACCTTTTGATCTTATTCATTCTGATGTTTGGGGTCCTTCTAAGGTCCCTCATTCTTCTGGAAATAAATGGTTTGTTTCTTTTATTGATGATTGCACTCGTGTAACTTGGGTTTACTTAATGCATGAAAAGTCTGAGGTACCACAACTGTTCTTTCAATTTTATAAAATGATTGAGACTCAATTTTGTAAAAAAATCAAAAGACTAAGGACAGATAATGGTACTGAATATGTCAATCACTCTTTTTCTCAATTTATACAAAATCAAGGTATGATTCATGAACTTACTTGTGTAGACACCCCTCAACAAAACGGGGTTGCTGAAAGGAAAAATCGTCACCTTCTTGAAGTTGCTCGTGCCTCATGTACCCAAATGCTATTGGGGAGATGCCATTCTTACTGCAGCGTTCTTGATCAATCGTCTACCCACTCGAGTTCTCGATCATGTAAGTCCTATTCACTCCATGCCAATCTTCTGTTCCAACTTTGCAAAGTCTTCCTCCTCGAGTGTTTGGGTGTGTTGTCTTTGTTCATATTCATAAACAGCATCGCAGTAAGTTGGATCCTAGGGCTCTTAAATGTGTCTTCCTTGGATATGCTCCTGATAAGAAGGGCTACAAGTGCTATCACCCTGGAAGTCGAAATTTTTTTGTTTCTATGGATGTTACATTTCAGGAATCTGAGTCCTTTTCCAAGGTCCTCATCTTCAGGGGGAGAATAATTCACCAGAAGACTCATCACCTTCCTTCTTTGAATCTTCAGTGTCTACTCCTTCACATGTGTCAGTGTCTCTTCCTCTTGTTCCTGTTCCTACTGTGTCTATGTCTGATCCTCCTCTGACTGATCCTCCTATGACTGATACATCAAGTACACCAGAGATACGGAAGATTGTAACACCTGAATTGGCATATCAAAGAAGGAAACAACCCATATTACCTCAACAGCAACCTCAATCGTCTGAACCACTGGTAAATCCTGAATCTCATATTTCTGATCATGATGTTAATACTTCTGATGACTTACCCATTACTACTGCTTCTGATGATTTACCCATTGCTTTAAGAAAAGGAAAAAGATATTGTTCTAAGAAATCTTGTTCTTCCTGTCCCTCTTGTACTCAATACCCTATCTCCCATTTTGTTTCCTCTGCTAATCTTTCTGTGCAGCACAAAAGCTTTGTTTCAGCACTAGATTCTACTTCAATCCCAAAATCAGTACATGAAGCTTTGAAAGATGGGAATTGGGCTCAAGCCATGCAAGAGGAGATGAATGCATTGGAGAAAAATAAAACATGGGAGGTTATTGATAGACCCAACGAAAAGAAAGCAGTAGGGTGCAGATGGGTTTATGCCCTAAAATATAATTCTGATGGCACTCTTGAGAGATACAAGGCTCGATTAGTCGCCAAAGGTTACACTCAAACCTATGGCATTGATTATGAAGAAACCTTTGCTCCAGTTGCAAAGATGAATACAGTGAGAATCTTGTTGTCCCTTGCTGGCCATTACAATTGGGATATAAATCAATTTGATGTGAAAAATGTTTTCCTCAATGGTGAGTTAGAAGAAGAAGTCTACATGGAAATCCCGCCTGGTTTTGATTCTGTGAAGAGGGAAAATAAAGTTTGTCGATTAAAAAAGGCCTTGTATGGATTGAAGCAGTCACCTCGTGCTTGGTTTGGAAGGTTTACTAAGGTTATGATGACCTTAGGATATAGACAGAGTCAAGGAGATTACATTCTTTTCTTCAAGCACTCCGAAAATGGGAAGCTTACTGTGCTCCTTGTATATGTTGATGATATTATTATCACAGGTGATGATTTTGTGGAGAGACAGATTCTGCAGACACGGCTTGCCTCTGAGTTCGAAGTCAAAGACCTTGGAAACTGAGATATTTCCTAGGGATAGAAGTAGCTCATTCAAGCAAAGGAATTTTTATCAGCCAGAGGAAATATGTTATTGATCTTCTCAAAGAAGCAGGAAAGCTCGGGTGTAAACCCTCTAATACTCCTATTGAGCAGAATCACAAGATGGGCTATGAAGAAGAGAGTCTTCTAGTTGATAAAGGACAATATCAACGGCTAGTTGAGAAATTGATATATTTGGCCCATACTAGACCAGACCTAGCTTATGTTGTTAGTGTTGTCAGTCAGTTTATGCACGATCCAAAGGAAAAACACATGCAAGCAGTAGAGAGAATTCTTCAGTATCTTAAAGGTACTCCTGGTACAGGATTGTTATTCCGACGTGATGGCAATCTATCTTTAGAAGTCTACACAGATGCTGATTATGCTGGATATGTGACTGACCGTCGTTCTACTACTGGTTATTGCATGTTTCTTTGCGGTAACTTGGTGACATGGAGAAGTAAGAAACAAGATGTGGTTGCCAGATCAAGTGCAGAAGCTGAATTTCGAGCTATGGCTCAAGGCATTTGTGAGTTACTGTGGCTGAAAATTGTACTTGATGATCTCAAAATAAAATGTGAGGGACCTATGAAGCTGCTATGTGATAATAAGTCCGCTATTTGTATAGCTCATAATCCAGTTCAACATGATCAGACTAAACATATTGAGGTTGACCGCCATTTCATCAAAGAGAAACTT